TAGTGTAATCTATGGAGATCGATCACTTGATCTAGTGGACGACCGCGATGACATAAAACTCTATGCCCAATCTCAGCATCACCCCACCAAACCCGTGCAATGTGACGTAGGCAGTGGTGTTCGAACACTGACGATCTATTTTTATCAAGTTCTCACAATGGTCAAGTTTCTGCATCATAGAGTAGCACTGACCGAACTGCTGCAGCATATCCATGACCGGTAGACTGAGGCAGTAGGGTTGGTTATGTCCAATTGGGGATGTGTATGGCAAGCTAGCACGTCTGAAGGGATACATCAGTCTCTAGTGATCCTCCATTCTGACATGGTGCTATTTCTTCATCCGCGGTGTACGATTTCGGACGAATGATCCGTCAATAAACCGGGTTATTGAAAATGTGACGTAACACGAAGAACTGTTGAAATTCCTAGTGGAAGAAGCATCTGGCTAAAGCCTGATGGGGAAAGGTGATGTGGGGAAGTCTGTGTGCTAAGGTCTGCAGTTGTCAAACTAGATCAACCCAAACTGGCAATTTACTCCAATCTATGTGAATAAAAACTAAAGCATACTCTTCCCCACGTGAACTTAAGTGGGAACCTAAGTGGCATAATAAAGTTCCGGAAACATTTCGCTGTATCTTCTCAGAAGTAGAGCAAAAACTAACAAGTTACGTTTACCGTTGATGAGCAATTTGCTTTAAACTTGCCAACCTTCCTAACAAGGCAGAGGAAGAGCTACAAATAAATCCTTGTGCTTGCAAATTTCGAGTTCCCATAATCTGCTAGCAACTGGAAAAGATTGGACATCAAATAAACTTGACCGCGGCATTCAAAAGTGTTTTCTTTACACAAAACTCTCGGTTACTCCAGTTTGCAGAGACGATAATGATGATACTTTGATAATAGTGATGATATAGATGGATGAAATATAAATGGCGCATTCGTTGATGTGCTCATACATCTAGGTATGGCTTAGTGTTGCAAAGCATAGTTCAGCTCATGATATGATGTATAAATCAACTTAGCTCGTTCAACTCTAACGCCCTAAATTCTAATCACTTTGTCACACAAATCGAATTCTAACCGATTGAGATTAAGCTCATTACAACAGCGGTGTTCGCGAATTATCCGTATTTCAGTATATTATTGTACTGTAGTGTATTTGACAATAAGTATGACACATAACACTTATCAACTGGAAGGTCAGATATGGTTCTTGTTCATTTCGGTGGGTATGTCAACGACTTCGAAAGTTGATTACACTCGATCAATTATGGTCTTAGCTTCCAAGATGGCAAACAACATGAATAGGTCAGGCATTTCCGTGGCAAAAACTGTAAGTGCCAATGGGACAGCAAAACGAAACAGTTGGTCCATAACAATTTCCCTGGCGGTTGTGCTACTTTGCTGAGAAGTAAGTTCGCGCGAGAACGTACTGTCATTTTCCGGTTTTTCATTTTCCCTTCAACCACGAAACCGTGCACTGTGTTATGAATGTTTTTAAATATTGATTTTCAATCACTGATAGAGGAGGAGTAAATCGTGAAAGGCAAAGCTAGGAACACAAACAAAACCAAATAATCAGGACAAAAGAATAGTAATTGTCCCTGCTGACCACATTCCGGTCATTGTTCATCCAGCATCTGTAACCGCCAATTGGATAAGTCCAGAAAAATACCCGAACCAGAGGAAGTCCAAAGCGATATGAGCGCCTCGCCTCTTCCCCAATGTCAGGGTTTTCATACTCTCATGTCATATCTTAGTTTGATCACGTTACTCTAGTTTCATCCACTACTGAACTGGAAAAACTCTGCTCATCGAAAAAGCCTATCTGGTGACGTGTAACACATCCCTACATATGCAACCACAATTTAAGGACACTAAGCACTTTCCTCAATCCGTCGCCGCTATCACTTTCGGGTTTTTCCAGGAAATATTCGAAAGCTGCGGGCAAATTAAATGGTCACTACGTACTCCGAAATCTAAGTGATAGAGAGATAAGATAGGAAAAAGCTTTCTCCAAATGACCCCTTTGCATTCTTTCATTGTCTGCATAGTCTAACAGGGCCCATCTCAAACAGAACACAGTGGTAAACACGCTCGTATGTTTTCACTGAATTGTAGCCATGCCAATACATTACAATGCATTCTCTGTACGAATTCATAGAGCTCCGAGGCACTTCATTCTGGTGAAAAGACAGACTGATTGGAGTGTGAAACGATCCAAACGGCTATATTGCGTTATTGTCGTCGTTCCAAAGTATACCAACCACAACTTTGGCAAGCAAGATAACCGGAGAAAACGTGAACTACAAAGCTGTAAGTTTAGAGGAAGAAGATCAAGGTGTTTCAGAAATTGGCAGCTTTTTGGGGAAAAAAGTTAACTGAAAGTGAACAGCATAACATTTTAGGATAGTCAATACAAGTGACTAGTCACGCGGGCACGGGACCTACAAGAAAGTACACACCAGTGTTCCGAAATAGGATAGGAGACATGTTCGGTTGAAGAAAGGAAAGAGATGCGGAGGGGATAGGGTCAAGTTTGGTTTTGGAATTCGGTTGGTAATGATACAATGATAATCCGGAATAAACACACGAAAAAAGTGACCAATCTCCACCTAACACATGACTGTGGTTATCCAGTATAGGGCAAGATTAAAAATTGTGAATTGTGAGATATGTGGAAGTGAAGAAAGATTTGACACGCACTACAGAAACTGATCTCGCGCGCAATGTAACAGACGGGTAAACGTATAAACCATGATCACAAAGGTGGAAACGGAGGTAATGGGAAAAGTTTGCATACATCTGTGGAACGGAACGAGAGTTAGTCCAAACTGAAAATTGGGGGGGTGGGGGAGATTCCGTCATGAGAGATGAAGAAAGAGAGAAATGAGCGTTATAGAGATTTCATCGGTAGTGAGGATCCGACTGTACATTGCTTTACTTAATCCCTCGTTTCCTTCCCTTATCCGATAACTAAATAAACTTAACTATTTGGTTTTAACAGCTCATTCAATGTCATGATGACCATAGCTAGCCATTGCTTAACATCAGTGATTAGTATCTAAATGACTTGGTGATTGGTGACCCGAAAGCATTGAATAATTTCTGATTTACCTACTTTTTTCTATTTCTACAGTACTGGCCTATACAAACCCACAAGTGTTTCACAAGGGACCCGTTGCTTCAGTTTCGATTAGACCTATACTTGAATAGATACACGGCTAATCGAACTTTTTTTCAACCATTTTTATCCCATTCAGGTTTCTCTGTTTTTCACTTTATCCCTATATATCCATTACTCAACTAACTGTGTCCATTCGTTTTAATGCACTTGTAACCTCACTCTCTGAAGCTCCTCTCTCTTTTGGTCCCCACATTTTGTTTTCTCTCCCGTTCTCTCTCTGTTACCGAATCTATTGCTAGGAGAACGTAATAAACACTTCATTTTTGCATGAATTTTCAGGCTATCCCGTTCAAAAACACACGTGTGCATTCGCGGTGTTTTCCAGTGTGTGTGTGTGATCTTGCAGTGGCTACTTGTGTACAACAACCCCTCCCCCCTCTCCACACACACGCACACGGGAGAAGAACTGTTCTTTTTTCCACATGAGCGGAGTGGAGATATCTGATTCAATAGCGTGGACCCAATAGAAAATAGGTTCACAACAGGAATGCGATTTCACAAGGTCCCAAAATATACCAATCAAAATTAGCAAGCCTCTGCGTCCAATGCACTCATTGCCAAACTGGTAGGTTCACAAACAT